ACTGTAGAGTACTTAATCAAAGGGGCTTTATTTTTATTTACTTATTTCTCCTTACTCCCCTTTCCTCAGTTCTTATGCAGAAGGTTGTACAAGCATTTCCCTTATTTTTCTGGTAACAATGAGTATCTGGGTTCCTCAGAAATAAATGTATGTGTCTTATTAGCACAGCAGGATACTTAACCCTAATTTGAGTTATGTTTTGCTAAAGAACTGACCTTTGACATGCACCCACCCTCCACCTCCACCCCCAGTTTTGCTCCCTTTCCATAGCTTGTTGCTGGATTTGGCCAGGCTCAATGGCATAAAAGATAAATTGAAAGGGACCAGTGAGGTCATTGTTCAGCAACAAAAGCTTGGACTTGGGTTGGACAGTGAGTAAAAGTTCGTGTTCATATCATTTTATACTGGCAAGCTTTTGTCATAAAATTATAGGCTAAAGTGGATAGATAATGAAGTCTCTTGAATGGGCATCTCAAAGATCATCTGCTTTATGAAGTTTCCATCATTTAAGGCAGCAATGTCACAAATATCTAACCACAAACATAGAATATTGTCTTTTAGATTTGGGAAGACATCTTTGATTCAAAAGACTTTTTCATAGTTTTGTGTCTGTAAATAGCCCAGATTTAAGCATGCTCAGTCCTGAGGTTCCCACTGTGTAACTCCTGTCTGAAATATACTGAAATCTGTTTATAATAAATACAGGTGTAATGAAAATCCTATTTACAATAAATCCAAATTAAAGCCCGTATCTGTTCAGTGCTATACAGCGGGTTTAATGGTGTTACTTTGCAGAGGGCTTTCTCTGTGGAATGTAATAAAGGTCCAGGAAGTTCCCCTAAACTGAAGAGCTGATAAACACCTCATCCACTCCCACAGTCATGAGATGAAAGCGAAACCACTGGCAAAGTTCCTAGCAGCTCTGTGGTACAGTAAATAAAGCATTTACTGCTACTCTTTTTTGATTCAAAAGTGAAAAGGCGAGCGTGCTAGTATTTCTGTGACCAGTAGAATGAAAATGAACTATTCTGTGTCTTTCTGAATAAAGTCCTGCTGATGGTAAAGCCAACTATGAAGGAAAAAAACCTTGGCAGGGGGAGACCCTAACCTTTCTCCTCACCCCCAGGAAATACCTAACAGAGCTGAAGTTACAGGCCACCGTCTATTATTAATATGTATGAGCTGTACTTATGAGTTGTAATGGGATACAGGGCGTGTAGCCTTCCCTAATGCTTTTGATGGTAGATAACTACCTTCATTAGTAATTCCAGATAGATGGATTGGGTTGGAAGAAGAGATGCTCTAAGAAAGCCCAGGAGTTGAGACAGGATGATGACTAGCCTGGGAGTGGGAGTTCTTGCTTCAGGGAAAACCTCGTTTCTGGCCTGTGCTGGAGTTCCCTTAAATGTCTTTTTGGGGAAGGTAACAATACAACGTTCCAGGAGACATTCCATTGCCAGCACTGGATCAGTTGCATCAAGGGGACTCCACATGGTTCCTCAAGAAGGCCTTCCCAATGGCAAGGGGAGAGGTGACAGGAAAGTAGGAGTGTGTGTTTGACGATTGTAGCTGCTATTGGCAGGACAAGCATATGTCCTGTTTCTCACTCCTTCCCTCCACGTACAGTTGCAACAGCCTTGTTTCTGGGATATGTTTGGTTTACTGCAAATGTGTATAGGACTTCTGGTTTCTGATGTGCCAGTGTGCTAAGTCATCACAGGCGTCTGAACCATGCTCCTGGATGAGACAAACTGGAGTACTGTCACTGTTGAAGTAACTTCCCCGAGGAAGTTACATCTGTATGTGTTATATACACACACATACTAAGTATGGAAATACCAAATTGGTTGAAAATGTTATGTGAGTGAATAGGATGTTCTGCAGATGCTTTCAAATACCTGTCCATAGCATTAGCATATGGCTTGGATTCTGCCTAGCTTTACTGAAGAAGTAAAATAGTTTATGTCTTAAAAAAAAAAAAAAAGAAAGAACATAAAAACATTATAGGAAGTACCAGTGCTTGAATTATATGTTGTTTTGATGTGTTGTTATTGCCTTTGCTACACTACTCCTACTCTTAAAGAAGTTTATTTAAGTGTAGTGGACAGTGATATGGGTAGGTGATGTAGGACCAAATACACTCTAACTGGTTCACAACAATAACATGATTGTGTTGGGTTTTTTTTTTATAATCAGAGAGAAACTGTCTACTTAAAATTTTTAGCCCGTATAATATATACACCGTTATTACTTAGTTACACATGACGCAACTTGGGTTGTGGAGTTTTATGCCACTAGTGTTGTATTTCTTTTTTAATAAGTGAAGCTAGTGTCCTAATGGCAGCTGCATTGCTTCCGCCATTTTTGAAGTGTTACTGATTAAAGACCCATTTGAAACACAGCAAATCAAAGTCTAACTAAAGTAAAACCTGGACTATCCACATGTTATGCAAAAAGGATGTCCAAATAAACACATTTACTGAATGTCTCCAATATTAATGGTGTAGGCACACCCAGCCTATCTATATTTGTTTAAGGAATGTTTGCTTTTAGTATTGAATGTAAGTTGAAGTCTCTTCTTGTTAAAAAAGTGGTGAGAGAATACTCTAGACTCTTGTCTTAGTCTTGCTTAAGGGAAGTTGGAAGGCAGATCTCTCTTCCTCCTCTAGAATGTATTGAAACATCTTTGATCAGCAAAGATGCAGCACAAGGTATTTTCACGGTAAGATAGTGAGAGAGAGAAAACAGATGTTAACACTTCTTTGTACCTACAAACTCAAGGGAGAGAAAACTCTTTTGAGGCCATCAGTCTTTTGGGACAGTAGAAAAGACAGTGTTGAATACAAGATGTCCTCTTTTCATAGCTCATTAATCCCTCCTGGTAGCTGTAGGTTACATGGATCTAAACTCACCAGGATTACAGTAACCAAATCTAAGTGTACCTGTGTGGGATAGTGCTGGTCCAGAAGAGCATTATGGATGTGGTGCCTTCCTTCATTTCTGTTCCTCACTGCTTTGTTATTGTAGTATTAGACCTTAAGTTGACTTTAGAAACCTTTCTTTTCATCATCAATTTAATATAGTAGTAATTAGCAAATATTTAGTGTATACAGTGCCCAAAATATTTGGTTTCACACATTTTATACATTGTGGTCAAGTAAATATAACATGTTCTCTATGCCATGCATAAGTCTCCTCCTCATTTAATGAGGGTCTATTTTTACTGTATTTTCTCCCTTGGAGATATGTCCACTGATGGTTGCATCATGGCTTCTAAAAGCAGGGGCAAATAAGACTTGCAAATGGCAGCACACTCATATAACTTCCCATTAAGGCGAGGGCAGGGACAAGAGGAGAGCAAACTCCTGTACCAGAGGCGAGAAACACATCTGGAAAGCATGGGCAGACACAAAGTCCTCACACATAAGGATGGTGCCCAACCTTTTCCTCTTCCTATTCTGTTGTTTTCATTCTTTGGGATTTTATTTTGGCCTTTGCAGTCTAGCCTTCCTGTTCTATTTCATACAAAGATATTTGGTAACAGAGGTGTAAACCTTGTTGGGAAACAAGTAAAATGACCAAAACCATCGCAATGTGCAAGTAGGTTCTTCTGTGTTCAACAGTTCATTGAAAACATGTAACACTGTATGTTGTTGGTGTGATGTAAGTTTTTATATGCATGCTTGTACACAGGAGCGTAACCTCAGGCATTGGGAGGACAGTATTACTATGATGACTAATGAAGACCCTCTTTGTTTATAATTGAGCATTGATTCTTCTCTGTCCTTCTGCATGAATTCATACACCATACTGTCCTCCATTTGCAAACTCATACTGGGGAAAATATTTTCATTTAATAGCTGCTCTTTGAAATTGTGCCCTCATTTTCATCTTTCGTGAAGATACTTTGCAGGAGCAGAATGTATTTAAATCCTTGCATTTCCAGAATTAACAAAAGCAGCACTTGCAGCAGGGCTGTGTTGCTGCAGAGGGACAGAAAGGGTGGAAGTAGTCTCTGCTATAAACCTTGTGACTGTGGGCGTGGGATGTGCAAAGGGGATGAGAACTGTGGCTTCTCTCAGAAAAGCAGAGCAGGCTTTTAGACTAAACCACTGCAACTGATCCCTTTAACTCTTGATTTGGATCTAACCCTGCTCACCTCTTTCTGTTAAGAAATATAAGCATATCCACCCCTATCCCTCAAATGAGCCTACCTGCTGTATGAAGAATGTACATAAATAATAGCAATTATTCACATTGGTGCATTACTCTGACTTTGCCTGTGGCATTTCCTTGGATCAGTTTGAGTTGAATGACTTAATGGTGGTGGACAACAAAAAATTAAACAGTTGCTTTGTGGGGTAACTCATTTAGATGACTAACAAAAGGTACATATCATTGAGTTGATAGATAAAGAAAGGAAAAATCAGTGGGTTTGAGACACCATAAATGTATTTTTATAAACACAAAGTATGTTCATACAAAGCATGTACTATTTCTCTACTTATTTGTGTTTCTTTATAGCAGAACAAATGCATGGTTCTTCTGTAAGCCTAAGAGCTGTACCTTTCTTCTTCACTATATTTCTTGATCTGAGTAGCAGGGAGTCTTATGAACCATTTGAGCCAATGTTAATTTTATAAATTGCATTTCCTTTTCTACAATTCCCATGAAAAAGGTATTCAGCTAGATAAACACTCATGGAAAATTTTAGTAGGACCCTTGCAATCTGTTTGAATTCATCTTCTTTAAAAAAAATATCTTTCTAATTGAAGCTGTGGAAGTATCAGAGATTCTTATGCCTTGGAGGCAATTTTTCCTCCATACGTAATGGTGAAACTCCACTGTTATATAGGTGTTTAAAATATTCTCTTTGTTAAATTGAAGCTTCTGCTTAGAAGTATGTGAGTTGGGCTCTTCTTGGTTGTTTTGTGTGATTTTTATTATTATTGACTTCACATGATTTTCATAGAACTTTCCATTTGTTTTTTTTCCCCCAGTCTTTTCCTGGCCCAAGTCTTGAAAGTGAAGATTTTAACATACCTCCTATAACTCCGCCGTCATTGCCTGACCACTCCCTGGTGCACTTGAATGAGATAGAATCTGGGTACCACTCTCTGTGTCATCCCATGAACCACAACGGCCTCCTTCCATTCCACCCACAAAACATGGATCTACCTGAAATTACAGTTTCCAACATGCTTGGCCAAGATGGGACACTGCTTTCCAATTCTCTCTCTGTGGTAAGCATTTTTAGTTTTTCCCTTCTATTCTGCTTTAAGTTGCGAAATCGTGGAAATACAGACTTATTTGAAATCCTCCAAGGGGCCAGCTCCTGCACAGCTCAAGTGATGGAGCAAGCTGGCCTGACACTGGGTTTTACATTACACTCCCTATGTCAAATCCTCGCCCACTGGAGGCGGTGGGGGTTTTACAGCCAAGTTCCTCAAAGTCAGGATGTTACCTGCTGCCTTTGAGTAGAATTACTCCAGCTTTACACGGATGTAGCTAATGACAAAAGGAGGCTCAAGGCTTTGACTTCCACTGCAGCAGCATTTCGATCCAGATGGCCGTTGTTCTGTGTTTGTCTGAGGAGGCTCTTTTCACTCTCATTTGCATGTGCTGAGAGATGTACAAAAATTTAATATCTCCTTTCTTGTTTACCACACGTTTGGAAAACAGCAAATGTTATTTCTGATTCTAGGCCAAATCTTATAGCCTTTTTACAGTTCCCAGTCCTTAGCCAGCCAGAATCCAATTGAAATGACTGGACGATTTGCTTATAAAGTCTGTCAGATAGTCATTATGGTTGTAATCTTGGGAAGCCTGATATTATAAATCACTTCTTTGAATGTTAAATCGCTTACAACAACTGCAGAGCTACTTTACATGTTACATTTTCAAGTGGGCTCTACAAATAATTAGTATACTTCTTGCACAGCAGCTTCAGACAAGATTATTTCAGGTCGATGTGCAATTCTAAGCCAAACAGATAAAAATCCTGTGGAGGAGGATGGGGCCTGGCACTGTGTGGGGCTCACTGGACTTCAGTCACTCTGCTAGATGGGCTGCTCAGGAACTGCAGATCCAGACAGAGATCTAGACATATTCCTAGAGATCCAAGGGTCTGGGCTTCTCACGGAAGGATCAGAGGCTTAAAGCCCTGTGTCCCAGCTGGGAGACTCTGCATGTAGGGACTGAAGCTGTTCAGGCTTCCAGCTTGCTAACTCCCCATCACATTACCTAAAGAAAATAAATCAATCCTGGGAGCTGAGACAGCGTATGGATGTTTGGGGACTGAGGGGATCTAGGCTCAGCTCCCCATCAGCCCCTCAGACTAACAGTCCCAGAGCCAGAGGGTGTGGTGGCCAAAAAAACGTTCATTTACAACAAAAATCTGCCTTGTCACAGGGCTTCATTGAAACTTAGTTAAAATAAAGCTGCCTTGATTTTGAGGAGCTCTGCATTCCATCTGAGGATGTCCAACAATATGTACTGCAGGGGAGCTAGTTGTGGCTTCTTATGCGCTTCTTAGTTATTGTTGATTTACTAGGATGTTGCACGCATTGTGTTTGAGGTCAGAATCTGACCCCAGGGTTATGTTCCTTAATGGAAGGAGGGGGGGAAAGGCAGATTTTCATAAAGAAATATAACTATACTTCATGTAAATGTTTTGAATTTTGCTTACATTTCTACAAAGATCGTGGTGTCCATTAAAGAGTGTGAGCTAAATCTTGTGTGGGGTTCTTAGAATCAGAGCTATGAAAGGACTTGAAAAAGTAAGATAATCTCTTGGCACTCTAGTCAAGACAAGAAGTATTTCATTGAAGTGACCTCTTTTGAGCCATGGCTATGGCTCAGAACTGTGCATTCTTTTAAGCTCTGATGTTCCACATTAACCTCTAGCAACAAGCTCTGAACAAAGGGCCTTGAGAGTTTGTAGATCATCACAATGAATTATTGCATCAAGGGCAAATACAAAAAAAGCTGAATAATATAACTAGGCAATTTTGCTATTGAGTGTTAGTGAAGATCAGAAAAAATGAAAATCAGACGTCAAGAAAATACACACTAAATTTTAACAGCCATTTCTGAGGATTCATTCAATAAATAAAGCATGATCCTTGAAGCATCATGGGCTAAGTCAACTGTTAACCCTAACTTGCATGCCCTTTGCACACAAGAGGTACTCTTAACTAGCAGTAGTTTTAACTCAAGCTAGCTTGTCTATCAAGGGGATTAAGCTACATCTCATGTTAGTACAACTGGTAGGATGTTAAGACCATGATTTTCTACAGTTCAAACACTGGCAGTATAGTTCTTCTGATTTGAATTTGATAACTTGAGAGAAATTAACTTGAGGAAGATAATTTAAGTTAATTCTGCAGTGAATTTAGTGACTTATTCAGTGAATAGAATGGCCCCATTGTCCTTTTGGCTTTCAACTAATGAAGACAGAAGATTTTGTAGAGTTAGCATTCTTTACTTAGCTTTGAAGCTCTTCTTTATAATCCAGAATCTTTCACATTTTTCCTTCAACATGACTCTTTTCTCTTGCTATTACTCATTTAGTCATAGTAAAAAGTTTCCTTTTTATTGTCTCATCAAACTCTGATCCATTTAACAAGCCTAAATCACTTTTATATTGCTTCACACAGAAAATAATGTGTAAGTTTCTCCAGTCTATCTAAAGCCTTGGTGCCATATAATTTCTGGTATATCAACTACTGCTTAGGGTATTTGGAAACCATGTATCTTGCTTCATTTTTCAGGACACTAATGAGTATTTTCAGAAAAATTATTCTTAGAAGTGAATCTGTTGGCTGTTCTCTATCCCTAATTAATTTCATATCTTCAGCAAATTTTACTTTTATTGGGACAAATTCAGCTGCAGTGCAATGTGTCACTAATTGAATTTGGTCTTTTTTTTTTTTTTAATACTTTCAACATGCTGCCTTTTAGCCAGTTTTTACCCCATGTTGGTATTTTATCAATAACAGCTTCCTTTTTGTCTCTTGTTAGAACTAGTGAGTGGTTTTCAGTTGGTGTTTTTATAGACAAAACATTAATTAATGCTAACCAAATGAGAGAAAGGAAACACAGTGAGCTCAGAAACAAAGTAGGAAAATAGTTTTTAGGCTGAGTATAACATTTTTCTTTCATCTCAACAACCAGGTATTTTCAGATGAGGATTTCTGTGATTTTGGACAGATTGAAAATTGAGGACATATCCCTCTTAAAACCCTTTCAAAACTCCTCCATTAGAAGTCCTGATTTCACACTGTGCACCACTCCCTCCAAGCTGCAGATGAAATCCCTTTGAGTGAGGATTGGAGGATTTGCCCCAAGCTCTGTAAGAATTCTCCTCTGTGGAAATGCTTAAACACACACAATAAGAGCCCACTACCAGCTCAGTGAATTCTTGTTAGGGATCAGCTTCTTACAGATTTTTTACACTGTGGGAATTCTTTCTGAAAAATTTTACAATGCTGGGAGATGAAAATTTCCCTGTGCCATTTACTGTATCTGATACTTAAATTTGGAATTAGCTTTCTTTGAAGTTTTCTTTGATTGATTTGGCTTCCTGTTGCACCCTCACTACTTTAAAAACTAAAATGACTAAAATTTCTCTTCATTATTATTCTGCTGTCAGTTCATATATTGGCTTCTATGTCTGTGTATTTCTATTTTATGTTTAGGTGAAGTACAGGCATACCCACCCATGCACATGCACACTAGTTTATACAGTGGTGTCACATACAGATTTCTTTAGACGCTCATTATAACTGGATATTTGGGGGTCAAAGGTCTACAGAATTTGTTCAGAATGTGACACATGGTGGTATGAACACACAGTCCAGCCCCAGCATGGTCAGCCACATGTGGGAGCTCTCTAAAGTCCTCTTTCAACATGGACATGACTTCTATGCCTGCTTATTAAGTGGATCTCATCTCAGACATAGAGCTGTTTAATGGAGATGTACTGATGGTCCTGTAGGCATGTTTCTATGTAACAACATGCCTATAGGAATCCTATATAGGGATTCCTTCCTGATTTACTACAGCTGAAAGTAGCCCTGGTAGGTTTCAGTTACAGCTGAGGCTTGACCTGACAGCAGTTGTATGAATTTTCCTGAAATATTCCAAGGACCGCAAGAAGTACCCTTCTAACATTTGTAAACACATGCAGGTATATACCATCCCTATGAGAATGTGTGTTTATCTGTGAAAATGCTTTTGGATTTTTTCTATTAAATTAATTTTACTGTGTGTTCATTTTATCAGCAAAATTATTTCAGATTTTTAGTGTATCCTATAGAGTGTTGCTTTTTTTGCTAAGAAACCAGGGTTAAAAATCACAGTGCTGTTTTTACATAGAGGAAAAAAAACCCTATTTTTGGAATGCTTTAATTTATAATCTTGTGCTGAACTTTTTGAAAATGTGGCTCATGATGGTATGCTATAGAAAATTTACAAGAAAGAAATAAAAGTGATTTTAGTTTCTTGAAATGCTTCAAATTTCTGGGTTTGAAGTTTAAAGTGGAAAAGATGTTAAAAGGCAATAAAATCAGGGGATTTATTTCCCAAATGCTCTACTTGTGCTGGCAACAAAAGCCAGCATAATGTATATACTTAGGTTTATTGTCATTTTTAGTATACAGTCAAGGCACACTTTGAATTCAAAGGCCACTGTACAACTGTTTTGACAACCACCACATCAGTAGGTAATGTGCAGGACATATGAAACTGAAGCAAAATGTTTCTTTAGGTCTGTAGGGAGTGCAGTACATCAATGAATTCAGATGTATTAGAGCAGCATGAATTTCTAATATGTTGCTCTTACGGAAAAGACCACTGGCATATTGAATAATGCTGCTTTCAAAGCAGAGCAGAAAATGTGATTACAGACAATTTCATTGCTGTTTTTAAAATAAATATTTTCAAAATCTTGAGGTATTTTATTTCATATAATGCATAAAGTATGTAACAGTGGACTAGAGCTAAAGATCTTCTAGGACACAGAAGAGTAGATGATGTCAGCTATAATTATTCAGATGTGGAATAATAGAAGCATTAGTTTAAAATAAAATGCGTGTCACAAAGGCCCATGTCCTTATATAAAAAAAAGCAATAAAAAGCTTTTCTTTTTTTTTTTGCATGCTTTGACAGAAGAATAAAGGCAATGAGTAATTATTTAATATTATGCCCCAATTCATCAAAGCCCAAACAATTACATTATACT